CTACTGATGTCTTTGTACGGAAGTTTATCTGCTTTTAGATGTCATAGATATCTTGTTAGTTCTTACTGTAAAGCTTGAAAATTCGCGAAGGCAGTAAAATAATTCATAAGAGCAGTAGGAAAAAAGAGTTTGTGTTTTCTTAATCAACGATCATCGCTCCTAATGTGCTCAAACTTTCGAATTCGTTGTGCTCTATAGACAACCGGCTGAGTGTGACTCGCGATCTCCACACCCTGTCATAGCTGCAATGTGGCGCGCTCGTCAAGAATTGGAAGAGAGTTGTAGTGACTCGGAGCTACCCCAAGTTTTTCGTCAGAAATCCAGTCAAGTACGAATTTCTTGAAATAATGCATATCTGTAGTTGAACATTCACTTTTTTAGTATACCGCTTTGTGCAGCGAAATGAGATCGTTTCTGGGAGTGGCATGCAGTGTTGGTCCGATGGTTCGAAAAGTGCTCAGTGATGCCGAAAATATGGGAAAGGAATGGGATTCTTCCCAGTTGCAATTAGTTCTGGCGCAGCTCAGATCCTTTGCTATGAGCGCAGTTAGCTTCAAACAGGTGATCGTTTAGTCTACACATTTCTAACTTCCATTTAGATCTTCTTACCATTCATCGTCCTATCTCTTGCTCATATGCTCCTTATCCTCAATACTGCATGTTCAGAAACTTTTGGACAAATTCTCTTCGTTTGTGGATATCTCGATGACATTCTTACAAGCTCTTGAAATCTTCGTATGTGCACTAAATGAAGCTTGCGGCATCATGGAGACAGTTGAACGACGTCGTGAACTGCAAGCCACCACTGCCTTCCCCATCAACTTCCAGGCAAGTACAAGATATCGAGATTTAATTTAAAGTGATGGTCAAAGGCAAACTGCAAACAAATGTATGTGTAATAGGGAGGGAAAAAATCCATCTAACACATCGTTATTATTGCGCGGGATTATATAATCCAGTTTTGCCGAACTCAATTAACTTTGGAGATCAATATTTTACCCTTGGCATATATTCCAAGGACGGATTAGTATTCATGTTTACCACATCTAATTACTTGCTATATCTACGGAAAATGCTAGAATTCTACTGGTTCGTTCTATTTTCCTACAGCGAGTTTGGAGAGTTCTCAGAGTTCTCTGGATGAAACTTTTTTATATATCTTAATACTTT